CTCTCTCTCTCTTTCTATCTCTGTCTCATTGTCTCCCTTTCCCCTCTCTCTGACTGTGAATGGTATAGATTCCTGTTACTCTCGCACCCCCTTCTCTCTCACAGTCACATAGGCAGACAGACACATACATATACTCACATGCAACCATGAACAAGCACGCGCGTAGGTACACGCTCACACCCATAATACACACAGACCAACGTGCGCCGGAAACAATTTCCTGAATGAAGGGCAAACGAAACTGTACGTACATATAATCTTCCTCCTACCTTTACCCTTTCCTGCATGTGGAAAAACGTTTAATGCACTTCTTTTTATTGTGCATCACCCTTTGGCTACAACATTAAATTTCACATTCATCACTCTTGTGGATAAGATATTAAGATGTATCCTGTCATATAAGACAGCGGTAAGAAAGCCACAAGGCACACCTTGTGCTCAAGGAACATGGAGCAGCCCAGTCTGACTTTTCCGCTCCCCATGCATTATTCCTCTGCCGCTTTTCCGGGTTCTTGTGCCCAAAGTTAATTCATTACCCTACGTTCTATTGTCGTAATAGGCATGTCACGGGAAAATTAATTTCCCCGCGGTGTCATTTCAGGTTTTTTCTTCTTTAATGTGACGAGCCTTTTGCGTGATTCTACTGTTACGACATGCCCGAATCTTACAAGCTATGCGGTGCATGCCTTCTTTACCTTGAAAGCAGCCTGTTAATTCTACTGGAGAATTTATGAGCGCGATGCCAATTCAGAATTGCCGGCAGCAGCAACAGCAAACGCACAACAATGGTTGTTTACGTTAGAAGAATATTATAAAATTTAAGCGTCAGACCAGTGTTTGTCGACCTTTTTATCGTTAGCGGCCACTTTTGCCACCTTTATGAGGCTAACATTTTTGTACCGCCCGCCTACACGTATTCATTGGCAGGGCATTAAATAACACGCTCTACAACACGCATAATCCCCTCTACCCACTGAAAGAAATTTTCGCACTTGCCATTTCAGTCCAAAATCTACATTGAAATAAACCTTTTTATAAACGTTTCTTCCCTACTTCTCTCTATTCACAAATTCCGTTTTTCTATTTTCCAGTTCCGTGACGTTTTACAAAGACCACACCCCCTACTGAGCTGAACCGCCTATCAACGTGACCTATATCCAGCGTTGTCATGGATACGGTCCACCCAAGTGTCCTCCCCGAAGTGACAGGGGTCGGGGTTCAACGAGATCTGGGTGCAAGAAGGGAGATAAACGAGAATGCTATCGACACTGATGGTGAGTGAGAGACTATCCCCCATGACTGGTTGATGCACATAACAATATGTACGAGTTTGGCTGATCACATCTGACCGAGTAGAGATAAGGGCCCATGATGATGACCATAACGACTGCTTAGTGTAAGACTCCGCCATACACCATTTTGGAAAGTGACACCTCAGCAGGCTGCAGTCTATAGGCTGTTTTACGTTCTAGCTTGACCATGGTGGAATGAATTTACCCTATCCAAAATATGATGCTAAGTAGTTTGCGTATAGAATTAAAAAATGCATCTCTCTCGTTATTGAGATGGACACTGATCCATTGACCCTGCAATGGTCGCTCCTGTCTGTATTTATTTCATAATGAATGCCCCTGGACGTCCTTTGGTGTCATGTGTCTCTTTCAATCCTGTCACTTAATGAAATGTTAAACAATTGGTGTGCTTTGCTTCTTCTTTCCTATGAAACATCTATCGTCCTTATCTCCCCATCTTCTTTTTAATGTTTGTTACTCTCTTGTAACACCTCTCGCCTCTAATCTTCTGGCGCTCACATGACCTTATGCAGTTGCGAGCTCCGTAAAACCTTTACTAAAACTATTTTTTAAACCCCAAAAACAATTTTTTTAAAACGTGTTCATTGTCCATATGTTCCTTTTTTGAGATGGGTATCCTGTCTACGCACTTGCTATTTGATTTTCTACTTGCTTGTCTCCCTGTTTTCTTTGTTCAATTCCTGCTTTCCAACCCTCGATGGGGATCCCGCCCACCTGTCCATTCACGTACCGTCCATCTTTTCCCATTGTCCCATCATGTATTTGACTGTTGTCCGTCTGCCTTGACCTGTCCACATTATCACTCATCTAATAATTTGCTTGACTGCCTGCCTGATGGAATAATCTTGAGTTTTGTTTTGAAAAAACAAAAACAAATAGCAATTAATTTGTATGACGCATATCCCCGCTCGACTGCAAGCTCTATGCGTTTTACACTATATCATTGTCCCATCGGACATTTGAACCCAGAAACATTCTGGGCATGCCGGGAAGAATATAGTGCAAACGGATGATGAAGCCCTCAATACACCAACACACTGGCAAGATCATTCGCTGCTTGTAGCCGGGTACCCATTCCCACCTTGGTGAAATCGGGAAAATTTGTTTGAAGTGCCTTTACTACCCCTCTTACTCAGTTTAGAAAATGATTAGAGAGGGATTTCTTCGGTCCTATCAGTAAGAAGAGCCAGAAAGGGCCAATCCACGCAGAGTGCGGCACAGCAGCACAACAGAAAGACGGAGATGTTGTAAAATAATACCTGTCCCACACAAGCAACGAACCCTTATATTTTAATGTATTGCGCTCACAAAGAGAACTTAATTGTTGCACCACAGACTTAAGATTCATAAACGTCAGTGCTGTTGAAAAACATCAAAACAAATACAGCAGATAGGCCTATACACTGACAGTTTCGGGCACAACCCGTCTTCTTCGTTTGGTTTTGTTGTTTTTTTTCTTCTGGTTCCTTTTTCTTGTTGTTGTTGTTGCTGTTGTTGTTGTTGTTGTTGTTGTTGTTGTTTGTCTTTTTTGTTGTTGTGTGTTTTCGTTGATAGGGGAGTTACAACCATCTCTTGCCGCTTCAGTAGTTCAGTAGTTTAGTCATTTTGAATACTTTGGTGGTTGCATAATACATTGTTCTATATTCATAAGCTATTGGGATGTCATCCTCTCTACAGCGGCACAGCACAGAAGCGAGGCCTCCTACATCGGGCTGCGTCTGCCCAAACGACCGCGCCGACCTAGACCGCACAAATCTCGACGTCATCATGGAGACAAAGAGAAAAACTCATCGTCTGCGAATAATCAACCTATCACAGAACACTTTGCTCCAGGTATGTATGCCCGCTGTTCAAAGAACCGTATACGTATACATGATGATGATGGTGAAAATACAGCTCGTCTGTCAGTGTCTGATGATGACCAGTACATCCGCATCGGATAATATTTCTCCATCGAAATAGAAGAATTTAAGAATTTTGAGGTTAAAGATGACTTGTGGCTTCTGCTGTGGTCCATGAGACCAATTCAACTCGGTAATGAAACGACTAAAGCCCATGTCCACTTTAAGTGTGGGTTTGTGCTAACACTAACAGTTCCCTGCCCATGCTACCCTGTTGCCACCGCACTCTCCCATCCCTGAAGTAATTTGATAGGGATTGACGACAAAGAAAAGGGGCCGGGTAAATAAAAGCAGCAGATGTTTGACTGCAAAGCCTTGTTTAAAGTGAGAAAGATCTTAGGTATACGTGTATTATTTGATATATACGACATAATATCACCTTTATTTACGCAAACCCAACCCCCGTAAAATTTCGTTTTTTATAAAGCGTTCAGCTACAGGGCATGATCGGCGCCTTCTGGTTTCAAGACGAGGGCTGTAAAAACGAGACAATCATATCAGATAGATGTCTCACGTACTGAGAAAAATTTGTAGAAATGTTATGCAGTAGAGTCATGGCTCCTGTGGGACGGGGCCACTCCCAACACGTCAAGAGTGGCCCTTGTGCGGTTATATGAAAGGCTTATAATGGTCACCACATTCCCCTTTACTTGAGCCCCTTCAATTATTATCTTTGGGGTTTTTTGATGGACAGAGTCTGCGGAAACAACCAACATACAATCGAAACTTGATGTTGAACATGACGTCCAAAGAATCGACCCAGAAGCATGCTGCGGGGTTGCTCAAACTTTCCAGTGTTATATTGGAGCTTGTAGGGGGAGAAATGGCCAACGCCTAGATATTTTAAAAGCCATCACCTTTCTGAGATTTTTGACAATAGTAATTTTGTAATAAATTTGTTCTTCAAAGCACAAATAGTGACTACATTGTATTTGAAATAGAACCATATGGCTGATTTTAAGTAGGTGCAAAGTTCTGCGTTTCTCTCAATTATGGTTGAAATCTTTAGCATTTGATATTTTTCAAAAACTTGGTGGTTGATTTTTTTTCATATTGCAATTTAACTCCCCCTCCCCCCTCCCCCGGTTGAATTTTAATTCTTCAAAGTTTTGTTGAAATTGGTCCAAATATGGCCAAGTTATTTTCCTTCTTTTTTAGACTCCGGTAAATATAGATCTTGGCTTTAATTTTACAGCAATGGCACATTTTATTATGTGTTCCATTGCCATACTCCCTATAATATTGGTTCCATGCTACCATGAAACAATTCCCTTTGCAACCCAGGCTACTTAAACTACTGAGGCTGGTGGTATTCTCGTTATTTATCACACTTTTCGTTTTGGAGTATTTTGTCCATTTTTTTTCTCTTAAAGCTGTCCGAAATGTGGTGGAACAATTGGTACGGTTAACGACGAGTAAGTTGTTGGTTTGTTATATAGGTGTTGTCTGGTTGTCCCGTTCTGGGCTCTCGTGTCTTTACGATGTCTTGTAAATGGACGCTGCCCTAAACTGGAATTATGTACTTATTTCTAAAAGTTTCAGTTTTTTTCTAGGTTTGCTGTTGATCCTTATTTATTTTGCTATTGCTTTGGTTCCATCAATGTTGCATTCCCCTTTATTTTTTGGTAGTGATATATGTACCGTGCCTGTACCGACAACTTGGTTAGGTCGCAGATTCTAAAAAAGATTATTATTGTGGTTATGTATTTCCTTGTCGTTAATGGTTCCAGCTTTGTTTCTCTCTGTTTTGTCGTTCCTTTTGGTTTTATATTTTCCTTCAGAACAA